GACAATCGTGTTCGCGCACGAGAGGCTGCGTTTCGTAATTGTCACGTTCGTTGATTATCGTTAATTAAGGTCGCGTTCTCAGATCCTCGTTCGCTTGTCCGTTCTAATCGACCTAATACGTTACCGTTTTACACTATCTCACGCGTTAGAGAATCAAAGGCTACCTTAATTAGGCGACAAAGGTGTCTCTAATTTTCAATTGCCCGCGGAAACTAAATGAACCATGAAACGCTCCCTCGCGAGAAAATCTTAATTACGCAAACGGTCGCATCTACATTAACGTAAATAACATAATCAAGAAATTACAAGTAGCTACGTATCGTTATCTCTAATTAATTAGAGATTACGATATGAGGATAACGCTTTAATTGCTATGAAACTTCTGCGGAAGGACGTTGCTCTCAATTAATTGTTGCATTGAATTAATTGCACGCAGTATGTAAAATTTATATCGTAAGGTAATATGTTGTAACGCGCCTCAGATATAGACGAGATATGTTTACTGAGAATTCGCATAGATTTGCATGAATTACTACATTGGCTAATTCTCCATAAGCCGTTGCAATTTATATAGTCTATTAGGCCGTATCATTTCTCGATCTGTGCTAGAATGAGATGTGCCGCCGGCATGTGTTGCGGGGGCGGTGATAGATAGATAGATAGATAAACATGTAGATGAGGAGATCGATTGATCTTGAGATTCAGAAGAACGTGTAAACAGGTCGACGACAATGGGAGGTTGAGGGAGAGGGGGTGGGAGGACAAAGGATAGATGGATACCTTGATCGACGATGAATGAAGGATGAAGGAACCGTCGAGTTGAACATTTTCGCGTCTCGACGAGAAGTTTCCGCGCGCTTGAGAGCCCTCGAAACTTTTCAATAAAGTGTAAACTTACTTTCCATACGTCTCGAATGACAAAGTTCGTTCCGTCGCTATCGTTTTCCGAAGGAATTTAGGGGTACTCGAGAGATGTTCTCGAGGGCGTTGTCGATAATCATTTTTGATGCGCTCTCTAGAGAAGTTTCCGGCATATCCTGCTCCGCTTGTCACAGGATTCGCGCGTGAACGTGGAAGTCGTGGTAATGCAAATTACTCGAATGCACGCCCGAAAAATATTTTTTAGATCTGTTTGAAAAAAAGTTGCAACAAGAAATTTTCACGTTTATTTACAAGTACGAAGGTGTAACGGCTCGTATTGTCTTGCGAATGCAAATTTTACGTAAATTACGGTCTGTAATTTAATGCAATGAAGGAGAATGTTCTTCTACACAGAAATTCCGTGGCAATTAAATGTTATTCTTCCTAGCGTAATCTATGTAATTCGCACTTTAACATTTTCTGTAATAAAACACACGCTTAAACGCACGTACAAAAACTACAAAACCGCGGGACTGTAACGCGGGGGAACGTCGACGTAATAAATAATATCTTTGTGTCCATCTTGTTTCTACGTAACGAGCCCTCCCCGTTATACGTTATTCTCCGCGAGGCGGTGCTCTCCGCCTAGAGTTTGGCGCTCTAACGGCCGACACCGTCGCTAATTGCCGTCCGTATAATTACCATATCGGAGAGATAAATATAGAGCTCTTACCTTCTACGACCAACGAGACAGCGCACCGACATTACGTCCGCGCCGTTTAAAGTCCGGGAAAGATAGCGCGGGAGACTGGGGGAGTGATAAAATATGAGCTTCGAACGTACAAGCCGCGCGGCGAAGATTCTAACGAAGTAATCTACTCGTCGACAAACCGCCTTGTTTACGTATTAATAAATGTTTCGATCCCACGCGCTTTAATATCGTCCCTGTAGCGATTTGTCTATCGAACCGTTTTGAGAAGCGAGAAAAAAAAAACAGATCAAAGCACCATAAAGCTCCAGCGTTCTCCGCAGGGAAAGAGAAAAAATTCGCAAACATTGTAGACGTTAGATTTACGATAAGCATGCTCGAGATTTATGTGACTGCGCTGTTAGTCATGTATGTCTTCGAGTTACTATTTCTTGGATATTGCGAAACTTGAGTGTCATTTTGAAATAAATCTCGAATACGTGGCCGCGCGATGCGCGACGTTTGCGGCATAATAACCTGCACGGGGAAATTGTTATTATATTTCGTTTGTCGTCCGCGTCTCCGTACTACGAGGAGGAAGTAATATTCCAAAGGAAAAAAGCTCATGACAAGATGCGGAGTTCACAATAGCTGTTACGGAGGATCAAAAGATTAACAATGGCCACCTGACGTCTATTTAATAACCGACTTCGTTATCTCGGCTTTGCAACCTCCATGCATGCACCCCGGAACTCTTTTGCCAGTCAAGCACGAGACGCAATTACGCAATAAGCGTCTCTGAAAGTACAACGTTTTCCGTTTAAATGAGACTTCTCTTTCTCGGAGGGATTCGTTATATCGCAAAAAATATAGCTCCGTATCTCGGCGCACAAGAGACTGATCTTCGTATCAAAAAGGGGAGAAAAAAGTTGCGCTGACGAATCATCTCGTCGTCACGGAGAACGACACGTGCAACGTTGTTGTTCGCATAATTGCGTCCTTGCGACAGGAGATTCACGCTCGATTTAGCACCGAAATATCGTCGTGCGCACGACGAACGCACCCACGCGTGCCGTAAACGGCAGGTGACGGCGCCCGGTGATTTTCCCGACCACGACGACATTTTAATGTCCAATCCCGTGCCGAGGCTAGAATGTTTCTCTGGCTCGATCTCCATCAGGAAGCGGGGTAGAGAATTATCGTGGCGCCGCGCCGCCGCGCCCGTGCCGACGTCGAAGCAAGACGTCGCGGTCGCAAACTCTCTCTCTCTCTCTCTCTCTCCCTCTCCAATTCTCTTCTTTCGCGCTCGAGATGGACGAGGGAGAAAGACGAAACGAAAGCGAGACACGGGGAGGAACACAGTACATACCAGCGGTGGCGACGCCTAATTAGCGGCGTCGGAAATGAGGCGTAGGCACCACGAAATTAGTATCTTGAGATATCCACGCGCGCCTGTCCATCCGCCATTCCTCTCTCGTTCTCGGCGGAATGCGCTCGCTAGATCTGCCGTACGTCTGCCCGGACATCTTCACCGCGTCGGAACGCGTCCTGGAAGAGAAACGCGGAGTGAAGCGAACTTCCGAGATAGTTTGGCCGACAGGTGCTTTGTGTAACTTAATCAAGGGAAATATCTCCACGAGAGAACTATCGTCGCTCCTTTCATCGCCCGGCTGCATCTCAGATTTTTCTTAACGGAAACTTAAATGGGTACTACGTCTTTTATTATTTTCAATATTAAACAGAGCTTTATAATTACAGCTGAAGATAAGCTTCTGATGTTGAAGTAATCGCTTGCACCCCGAGACTAGTACGAGATTATTTTTTAGTTGAGAAAAGAGATCAATTTGAGTTGATCAAAGAATTTATAAACGAAGGATGAGACGGTATATCCGAGGGGTACACACGTCTTTAATCTAGAATGTATTTTCTGAAGAAAAATGTATATCGTGCGCACAATGTGCGATTATATAATTATAAATTGCATATTCAGACCTACATTAATATTTATAACACTATTCGAGATATCTTTTCATGTAATTGTAAACTACATTATTTAATGTTGCACGCTAACAACAATGCACATTTGATAAACAAATAAATATGAAACATAATACGTGCAGTGTTGATTATGGCGCACAGATACTTTATTATTTATAAGCTACGAAATTATCTGACGTGCAAAAACGCAATTGAGTCCCGAAAAATTGTTCAAATTTTTACTTTCCAATGGCACGCTCATTACGATGCACCCCCCCTCTCTCTCTATCTCTCTCTTTCTCTCTCCTCCTTCTATATGTATTTTAATGAATGTGTGTGTTCGGATTAACTTCAGTAAAAATTTATATAATGGGGTGATTCAGAGAGCGAATATACAAAGAGAATATTTAAATGAAAATGTCTGTCTGCACCAACTCATATCACTTAGTTAGAAAGCTTTCGTTGATGTCAGTGTATTTTTATTCTCTACATGAATCGCACAAATTATACAAAATTACCCACATTAAAAGAATGACGCTAACAAGAGAGTACATTATAAAATGAGTTTGCTGAAAAGCGCCATGAATTTCCGGAAGAATAAAAATATTGCGGGATATATATTTTCTAAATCTTTACAATATATGTATTACATTCAAGATATGATGATACTTATTTATTTATTTTTTAATACATATACTATGTATATTTCTAATCAAAATTTATTAATTATAATTTTATGAAAAAATGTAAGTAGTTTAATTATTAATGCAATATATTTGCTTTACTGGTAAATGCAATCATTTTGTATCAAATATTGCGATACGACTTCAATTTCTATTAAAAATTTATTAAAAATGTACGCGTTTGAATATTTTTTTCTTTATTTAATAAACCAAGTCAGAAATGATTTAATATTTTAAACTATGTTTCTACTTGTATTCACTTTTCGCTACTTCTCGATAGTCGATATTTGCGTTAGGGTGCGATTTACGGATAACAACCCCTCACGTGTTAAGCCCCAACGTTCATCTCCCTGCTACGAGTGTCATTATGACGACATTAAACTAGCCGGACAATGACAAAGCTTTACGATTTAGTACGTTACGAGCAAACGTGCCGAATTCTCACGCAGTTTTGTTTTAATAACCAGAAGATCGATCGGTGACAACGATAATCTATGGTACCTCTATTGTATTACGTTGCCTACCGTATCTGCTACCTCCTCACGATAGAAATAATTATCCCCGAGGCCATTATTACTTCTATGTCATGGCCAGAAGGAAAAAAAAGGTTCTCGAATGGCTTTTTCGTCATCCATTCATCCGGTGTAGTAGAGAGGAAAAGCGGAATAGAGAAGGAGCGGATATACCCGCCTCGATATTTTATTTCCCTGCGTTTCTCACAATGCCGCGCTATTCTCCTCGCAATCGCCACGTTCTTCGCTGACTGAGCCCTCGCTTTTTGTTGCTTTCAGGGATTTGCGACCGGTGAGTTTGGAGAAAGGTCAGGAGACCCTCAGGCTCAGGGTCTATGCCTGCTACGCCTGGGGTGGGCCCTTCCTTGTCGCCGGTCTGGCCGCGCTTCTGGACCATCTACCGCCTCAACCTGAGTACACGTTTCTGAGGCCCCGCTTCGGCGAGAAGCAGTGCTGGTTCTATGGTAAGTTCTTACTTCACCGTTACCCTTCTATTAGCTCTCGGCGCAAACTATTACTCTCTAAATCTGAATCAGTGAATAGTCACTGATTCACAATACTATTCACTGATTCAGATTTAGAGAGTAATAAAATAATAACTTTATTAAAGTGAAAATAATAAGAGTTATCATATAATCAAGAAGTGTCATAGAGAGGAGCATCTCAAAAGATGAGGCATCAGTAATAATATTGTTTTTAAACTTAAACTTAAAATAATAATAATAATAATTTATTTGTGCGAACATATTTATTTTTGGTTCGAGATATCGGCTATTAAGCTTCGCGTCCTTTAAATTAGATTTAAATCTCTCTAATCGCCAAGATCTGATTCCGTTGTTGCGGATAACTCTTCGCTAATTGTTACGCAATTCTCGGAGCCTCCGCCGTCAGCTGGAATAATCGCAGTTTTTTACCTCCCGGTGGTCGGAGAACCGACGCGGCGCTTTCCGCGAGAGCTCAACGTCAAACTTTGGCGGCTCGTCACGAAACTTTCGGAACCTCGTGTAGCGGGTCCTGTTCGGATAACCGAGCTAACTTGCATCCCGATGTCCGCCGGGAAGGCGCGGAATATTAAACGAATGCAGAGAAGCGAACTTGTATTCCGCGCCCTCCTTTCCGGCCTCTTTCTCATCCGGCTGCTCATCAAGGCGTCGGCATCGTCTCAAAATGCAACGTACGTATAGCCGCGCGACGCCACGCCGAAATTCCCAAACTTTGTCGAAACCGGTCCCGCAACGGGATCGGAGGGACGTCTTGCTACGCGCTGTCTGACACCGACAAAGTTTTTCCATCAGACATGCCGGACCTCGCGCGAACTACAATGAATACTGAGAAAGAATTATATCGAAATGGAGAATGCAGGAGTTGGAGCCTCTCTACGCAAGGTCTGTTCAAAAAGTTTCCGAACCTTGTCTTTATAATTTTTGCGGGTTTACTTACAACTTATATTCAGTCTTGTCTCCTTCGAAGTATTTTCCTTCTTGGTTAATATGCACCACTTCCAGAGCCTTTCTATAGTTCTATAGACCTTTTCTCCTAATCTCCTCGACTTGGCTCTCGCAAATTTTTTCTTTTTTCAAAACAAAATCCACATTGAAAGGCCAAAGGATTCGACATTTGAAGACGTCAAGGATAATTCGCAGACGGATTTACATACAATCGTGAAAAACGCATACCAGGACTGCTTCCAGAAGTAGAAAGTTGAGAATGGTGTATAACCGAGAAGGAACATATTTCGAAAGAAACAAGGCTGAATAAGTCAACCAAAGTAAACCAAAAATTATATAGCAAAGTCCGGGAACTTTTTGAACAAAACCTTATGTAAGAAAAATACAACATGTGCATGGTATATTCACGGTACATTATTAGCATATCAATGCAGCAAAAATGTAAACTCACGAGATTCTGGAAAGGAAATGTACACTCTGAAAAAGAAGTATTACTTATAATAATTATGTCGAAACTCTCTCAGGCTATATGGCGACAAGATTGTTTCAAATGATAATGCGTATGGAAAAAATTGAGTTTCTTTTTCTCGAAGCCTTAACAGCCAATAAAAGATTTATTCCAATGTCGGGCTACATTCGCTCGACCGGGCGATTGACGCGTAAAAACCAACCCAAGATGTAGCTTCAGCTTGCGCATCTCGTTCAAGACTGCCGGGCGGAATAAGAATACGCGAGGATGCACCATAAAACAGGAGATAAAGGCGTTACAAGCAAAAAAGGAGATAAACCGCGGCGGGGGACCCAGCTTTCGAATCTTGCGGTCCCAAGAGATCGCCGTCTATATTTGGTGGGTCTGGCAGGTCGCCAACAATAGCTGTTTCGCACGAGTTATATCTCACTCCCATGGCAACCCGTAACAAACATAAATGAATTATGTCCACGCGTGCCGTTCGATACTTTACGAGAGGCACCTCCGCGTCCTCCGCCACGGTCAAATCCGATTAGCTCGTCGCCGAAAGTGTTGGCGCTAAATCAATCGCGAGAAACGGCGCCGGCGCCGCGCAACTTTTCACGCGCATATTTTTCTTCTCATCTGGTGTTTTTTCATCCCGGCGTTTTCCGTTTTTTGTGTTCGTAGAGAAGAAGAGAGAGAAGAGAAGCTCCGATTTATGCACGACGCGCTATTAATCACGGCTAGTTTCTCGAATCGGAATCCAGTTCGACTGCTTTTATTTAGTTCGCGAAGGAAAGACGTGACATATCGGCGATGTAGAATATTTTCCTTGGGGAACGTGTAACATGCAACAACTTGCAGTAAAAATCCCGTTAACTTTATTACAATAAAATATATCCCGTATATCTGAATTTCCAATTCGTTTCCGCTTGAGCCGAGTAATAAACGAAATGGTGTGATAAATAAAGAAGGATTTAGGGACGGGGTTTTGTACGGGGTGCTTTCGCGGCTCTTTAGCATCCGATAATTCCCTCTGCATTTCATTACCATTCCGATTATTCTAATCGCCACTATGTACGATCGTCCCTCTTCCATATTCTCGTCCCTCTCTCGATTCCCTTTCGATAATCGCGTTAAGAACCATAACAAAATGTTCGTTTGATAGATCCTATGAATACAAACCTGATGATGTGATCCGTATAAAATACAGTATTCTGATTTCTGAATAATTTTTAAATTTTTGATTTCTTGACTATATTTTATATTTTTTTATAAATAACAATGATTATACATATCTTTTATAATTAACTATAACTATAGATTTTTTTATACGTATATTGTATAATATAAAATATTTATAAAAAATAAAATTTATTTCATTATTATCAAAAGCACTGTAAGCACTATTAAAATTTTTTTATAGGAACGCTTTTAGAGTCGTCGATACGTACTTTCTCATTTATATTCATGCATGTGTGTGGGAAAAGCGGGGAGAGTTCCATGAATTTCACATGGTAATTTTGCTTTGGCTGCAACCGGGTTATCGGAGTAACCCTGAATTCTCTCGGCATAGTTGTATATCAAACTGATAATAGTAATAACAATAGTAATACACCTGCAGGTATTCCGCTACTTATTCTAATTTTATGAAAGTGATTTTATTGCCATAAATCAGTGAGGCGCAACGTCTGAACAGCATAAAGAGCCCCTTTATAATATTTTATGCTACTCTTGCCTGGCCCGTTTAATCCACTTAAATTACCATCCAAAAGACAGAAATATTACGTACTGAATTAAATTACGCACTAAATCATGACAAAATTATTTCACAATATGCATTCTACCAGCAAAAGATAATACCTGATAATACCTATACTTAGCTCACCGATTATAAGCCCTTTATAATCCCTCAGCTTCAATCGCTAATTACTAATCGCTCACAGACTATCCCTAGATATTTTCGTCGAGGAAAGACTGATTCGAAACAACTCTTTATTCATCTTTTCCAGTGTTATCGATTCTACGTAAAAGCGCTATTATCGTTCGTCTCGACGATGCTAAATACAAGTTAAGAAACAAAGGATATAAACGCAAGATAGGGGACAGTCTCGGGGCCCATTTAAACGCATACACGCATTCCTATTAGTACGGGCCGTACAGTGCTCGTATATAGGGCTACGAGATAGGGGGGAACGAGGGTTTCGGCCGTTTCGCACGACGGGGTTGGACTAGCTGGCGCCAGGTTTATCTCTCTACCCTATCACCTCGGCCTATGCCGTTATGGAGTGCCGTTATAGCGTGGGTGAGGGGGAGAAGGTTAGCTGCCTGCTTGTGGCGCAGACGGTGCCCCTCGTCTCCTGCAAGAGCATTGTGTCAGGGGAAACAAGTCGCGATGCCCCGACGTAGTTTCCCACGAGATACCATTATCCCGATTTAGAGCGGGTAGCTCTATTCGCCAGGTGTAGCTTTTGTACGCGTCCAGGTACCCTTGGTAGAAAAGAGGTGAGACTGCATGTGAAAGAAAGTGAAACGTTTAAGCTTCACAGCGTGAAATACCCTTTTCCCCCACTCTCTCATCATCTTAAGAGCATTTCATCATTTTGAGACACAATGTTTGGAAGATTCTGCGAGAAGTTGCGAGAACTTGATCACTTTTTTCTCGAATGTTTGGAAAAGACAGAAGTCAACAGAAGAAAGAATAGACCGCGTCAATATGAATCACGGTTTATTCGTACAAACATTTATAGACATTTTTTTTAATTTTTAAATGAAAATATTGAAAATAGGAAGGTGTTTAGTAGTGAATGGTACGTATTGATTTCAATCTACAGATTTTGAGTTAACGCGACTTTCTTTTGGATAATAATAACGTTTCAATATTTTCGATGGATTGCCCACGGTAATACCATTGTCGCTTTACTGCAGCTTTATAAATCACATAGTTGTTTTGCAGAGCTTACGAAATATCATCAGTGTATCACGCGTGCAATCAGGAGGCACGACTAATTGTTATCCCTATCGACTCTTTGAGTATTCTCTTTTTCCAATGGGGAAAAATTGCTTCACCTCCCTCACCCCGCCTTTTCGTACGCACGCGGGCGATTGCGGTCGAGGAACGAGGGTGCATGGACGGGTTGTTTGTAATTGCAATCTCTGGCCGCGACAAGGGTGGGATCCGCGGATCCGTGGATCCGGCATGTAAAAAGTGAGCGTTAATCAGCGGGGCGTGCAGGGCGGCACGGCGGATCGCGGCGCGGCGTAATTAATACACCCGACGAGCGGCGTGTTTGCGGCGCGGCGCGCACATCTATAGGCGAACTTTAGGACGCGGAGCGTTACGCGCCGGGATTGCGGGATGTGGATTACGTGGGGAAACGGGTCGTTAAATGGCCAGGCACAACAAACCGTAGCCCGACGCACCGAATAGAGATCCCTCCCCTCCTCCTCCCCTTCGTCGCCCCGTTACGACGTTGAACCTTATTATCTCCGTTCGGTCCGCGAGAGATTCACAGGGAGATCCGTAGGCAGGCCGCGTCTGCCGGTTATTACTGGAGGATTCGGG